TTCTCACATCGCAAAGAGGGCTGTGCAGCCACATCCTTCAGTAATCAATAAATCCATGGACAAGGCAATTACTGTTGTTTGTTACTTTCTCCTCTGGTTTCATGGCTGCTTCCTTTCGATTTTATGCAAATATGGACACAGAATTCAGCTAATTGTTTGTGAATGAAAATTATTTTTGTGTCTTGCGCCAAATTTTATGAAAGGGCTGGGTACATTTTTAGAGATCAGAGGCTTCTCTGTGTTTTAATCACATAAAAAATATCTGTAAACCAATAAATTATTTTTAAAACCTGAGCTCTACACAAAGACTCCTCCCATGATATTTCATAAGACAGGGTTTACAAAAATTTTGCATGATTTTCTCACACTCCAGTTCTAAAATGTCCTCAGCAACTATCTCAGTGTTGTTATATAAAAGGTAAATAAGATCTCTCAATCAGCAGTGTCACATCAGAGGTACAGTACTCCCTTCCTCACCGCGCTGAAACAAAATATGACAGCTTCCTCTCAGCTGCTGCTGCTTTTAGCTGCAGAGTGACGCGTGTGGTGGAATATTTTCCCACCAGCAGCATCAAAGCTTCTCTATAAATACATTTATAGATGCAAACCTACAGTGACCCATATGCATAGCAAATGCTTGATGCTGCCACCCTGACAGTGAGCAGGAATGGGAAAGACGTGGAAGCATTTGGAATTCGCTCCTCTCAGACGTATTGTTTTTTTTTAAAAAAGATCATAATGGGAAAACAATTCAATTCAAGTTTATTTACATAGCGCCAAATCACCACAAGAGTCGTCTCAAGGCACTTCACATAATAAACATTCCAATACAGTTCAGTTCATTAAGCCAATCAGGAAAAAAGTTTCCTATATAAGGAACCCAGCAAATTGCATCATGTCACTGACTAGTGTCAGTGTCTTTACAGCAATCCTCATACTAAACAAGCATGCAGTGACAGTGGAGAGGAAAACTCCCTTTTAACACGAAGAAACCTCCAGAGGATCGTGGCTCAGTATAAGCAGCCATCCTCCACGACTCACTGGGGATCGAGAAGACAGAGCACACACACACACACACACACGCACGCGCGCGCGCACACACACACACACACACACACACACACACACACACACACACACACACACACACACACACACACACACACACACACACACACACACACACACACACACACACACACACACACACACCAAGTAATGTGTCTATGGTTACATTGTGATTTCTTGATACATATTCTATTTGTTGAGAGATAAACTTTATTGTATTTATCCTAGTGAATCTATAATTAAACGGGTAAACCAGTAGTAGCACATTCAATGCCAAAGAAAGTAAAACGTTATTATCAGGAGAGGGAGAATTATTAAATGGTTAGCAAGAGTGTTCAAGCCGATGGCCCCCTCCATGAGGGCGCCACAGCTCAGCAGAACATCATTGTAGCTTCTTCTGGGGAGAAAAACACTTAGAGAAAAAATAAAAGCCACGCCTTCTTGCAGATACAAAGATGTTTTTAACCTTAATGAGTATCTTGTTATAATGTGTATGAGTGTAAACAATGATTAACTTGTTAAATCAAACACATACTGATTTATGATATAAATGGATCATTGTAAGAACAATGTTCATTTCAAATTCATTGATTTAAGCACAGATTATTCAAACATTTGATTTAAACATCTTGTTCATTCATCACATATGATTATTTAACTTATAACTATAAAATCATGGAGTTTTCACTTAATCAGAGTGAAGAATGTTGTCTGGCTTCTAAGCAGAGAATGTAGGAGCTTGGGACAGAGTGTCTATTTGAATGTTTGGTCTTCATCAGTGGCAGTTTTACCATTAGGCATAGGTTAGCAGCCACCTGTGGCGCCCTTATGTTGGGGGACCCCCTACTGCTGGCACTCCTCTGTTAATGCCACAATGGACTATTCCTTTAAGATGCCGATGCACAAACAGTAAGTGATTGGTAGTCATTCCAGTCCAATCCAGATGGTGGCAGTAATTCACCAAATTGTTGTTTGCCAAGTGCCATAAGACCACAAATAATAAGAAGAAGAAGATAAAGCAGCAGCAGAAGAAGAGAGGTGGGAGCGTTCATAACAAACCCGAAGCAGTAGTCAAAACATTAAGCATGAAATGGAGTTATCCTAGTGGCTCCAATAAGAGAAAGAAGCAGCTTGCTTTAAAAAAAGATTTTATGTTCACTTCCGAAAGTGACGTCGTTTTTCAATGTAAACATCAAAAGGAAGCAGAAACGAAAGACAATGGAAAATGTTTAAAGGGAGGAAAACATTGACCAAAATGGAAAATAGCATAAAAAAAGGCAAAAGCACAAGAGCACTGACAGGAAGAAGAAAGCAGAGCAAACATTGAAGGCACTCAAAAGGAAGGAAATACATGAAAAAAGAGGAAGACTAATAAAAAGGGAAAATAACTCATGAGAGAGTTTCGCAAATCCAGTTAAAGATAAGATTGTCGAATATTAAGTGTAAGGGGGCTCATGTCTGTATTCGCCTTGGGCCCCCAAATCGCTAAATCCGCCACTGGTCTTGATGGAATATCAACACGTGTTGAACAGAACCTTCTGGTTCTGGAAGGCCAAACAGAACGTGCATTTATTTCTGTAGATGAAAGGTTATTATGTTGGTCAATGTAGATGGTGAAAAATGGACCCTTTTGGTATGTTACACGTGTGTGTTCCTTTTATCTGTTAAAGTCAATTAGACATGTGGTAAGAGACCTAAATAATATGTTTGTGTTTTTGTTTTTAATTTTTAACCTGACCTGTTTTGGCAGTAGAGGCAGACAGAATGGTTGATCTGGGTGACATAACCTGCTAAGCAGTTTTACTCTACAGCAAAAGGGATGTGGGATAGTCCTCCTGTTGTGCAGCAGCCTTTATTACGTTTGTGGCACGTTAAACCGCATTCGTCTATGTACCGGAGTGGACAGGCAGGGAGAAAAGAGACATACAACACAACATATATGTTCGTGTTCACTTGCTGCATCACCATTTTAAAGTGGCAGTGTGTAGTTTCCTGTCCCAAGGGGGCAGTACAAACACTTCAGGGTAGTTTTACGCCAAATCACTGTAACTGTCGCTAGTTTAAAAAAAAACTTTGCGGTAAATGTTGTTACCTGTGGAGCAGAAAGCGCTCGACCTTGGCGTGACTCCTCAGAGTTTGATGTTTTTTCAGTTAAATCCATTGAGAGAATGCATAACAGATTGTAGTTTTCTGCCTCTGTAGTTTCTGGATCTGCTCAGGGTCCTGCGCCTGCTGATGACATCATCTTTCTACGGCAACACCGCTCGGCCAAAATATATAACTTTTTTTTTTACTCTGTTTTTTCACGTATGTTTTGGAAAGAGTTTAGCAGTTTTGTTATTAATTTCGTGTTTCTTACTGCCTAAATGTTTTCAAACGTGGTAACGTAACTTCCGTAAGTTGTACGTCCAGCCAATCAGCTAGTGTGATGTCATCGGCAGACACAGGACCCAAGCTAGCCAGAAGGAAACAGGGCAATAAGGTGTACCCTAAAGACGCAAGACCCACGCTCTATGTACTTTGGACACAATTTTTATGGTTATTTGGTATGAAGTCACCAATACTTTTCAACAACCGGATATAATTTTATTTATTTTCAACAACGTTTCGATGGATACTTCCAGAGATTAATTACTGTTAATGAGTAATGCCAAAAGTGTAACCATTTTAGGCTTTCGGGTGCTTCAAATGACTACATCTGTTTAAAAAACCCATTAAAATTTTATAGCTGAAATAGTTTTGTACATTATGATTCTCAAAGGCAAAATGGAAAGAAAATGGTCCAAATTTAGTTGGATGATTTTAGGGAACACAAGCTGAAAATAAACTACAAGTGGTAAAGCTGCCTTTAATGAACCAAACATTTTTATTCTTATTGTTGTTGAAGTTGTTAATAAGAATAAGACCATTGTTGTTGTTTTAATTGAAAGGAAACTATCAATATTCAAATGAAGCCGTTTTTTGTTCTATTAAAGGGTCATTAAACACTGCTGTTAGGTGAAATGAAAAGCCAAAAAGTTGATGCAAAAAGAAATGTCAGAAAAGAGCACTGATTAAAGAAAGAAGAAAACAAAATTACATTGCCATGTAAGCTGCTGTGACAAAAGCATCATGCTAAAATGTATTTTGAACATTTTCCTTCATTTTTGTGACACAATTGGTTTCTGTTTGATTCTCTTACGGGTATAATGTTTCCCTCACACCAAAGCAGACCAGGAATCAAAACCATGCAGAGGAATTACAAAACACACACTAATACATGTAAAACGTGTGTGATCGGATTCAAACGTACATCGAAGAAGTAAACTCGATAAATAGAAAATATTCCATTAGTCTACTGATGATGAATATTTAAACACATGCTGCTATAATCCTGGCAATGATGCTCTTCCGGTCGGTGTCACTTCCTAAACAAAGTCCTGATGGTCTCGTGAGGATGTGAGATTTGCACGTGTGGAGCGCTGTGGAGCTATTAAAGCACTAAAACTCTGTCAGGATGATCCACAGGGTGCACCTCCACGTTCAGCAGCGCACATGATTGCACATTAACAATCTGAAGAATGGATCACCCCAAATGCTTCCGTTTTGCTCCAGTTTGATGCATTTTAAGCACAAGTCAGACAAATCTAGTGATTTTTCATCTGATTGTTCCATAAACACAAAGAAACACATGAAAGTGGATCTGGAAGTCTGGAACATATTGTTTCTACCCCTTGTTCCCAAACCCAACAGTTTCCTATGTTTCCTCCGATGGGAGAGACCTGGAAAACTGTTGTGTCCAACAATAGGGCATCCAGAGCCCAAATCCTTCATGTTGCGTCAGCTGCCTCTATTACCTCTTATTTCTGATGTTAAATTCATGACGGGACTTTTATGTGCCCACAACTGTGAAAAAATGCGCGTGAGCATAGAGAGATAAGTGTTCAACTTACCAGTTTCGCGGGAATCCCCTTTACATCCTACTGCAGGTGTCGGTGCGCTGCGCTTTCTCCAGCTCTGGACCCTGATCCACTCCAGCGCTCTCCAGGACAGCCGGCTGTCAGCCCAAAACGTGACCAGAATATTTCTCCTTGGTTTTGTCATAAATATTACAGCGGGAGGGGGTGAGAGGTGGGGAGGGGGAGGGAGGGGGGTAGCCCTATGCGCCTGCAGATGCACAACGCGGCAGTTGCTCCTGTCCGCTCACGGATCAGGTAAACTGTGTTGTTTTGGGCGGTTTGCTTTGGATTGTCCACTCCACACGGCGCGTCGCGCACACCTGTCCGCTCTCACGCCGCGGACTTGCGCAGCATCCCACACGCGGAGCGGCCAAACGCATGATGATGCGCTAACCCCGGCGGAGCGCAGCCGCTCCAGGACGGCGATCTGCACGCGGAGGGGAGGGAGAAGAGGTGGGGGGTGGGGGGGTTGGAAGAGGGAGGAGACAGAGATGCGGGAGGTGGATGAGGAGGAGAAGAGGTGCATGTGTTGCGTGATGGGAGCGTCTCACAAGGACGACCTAAAATTCCTCAAGGGTGAACGCTCCCTCTGTAGTAATTCAACGAGATTTCCCACTTGCCCCCCCCCCCCCCCCCCCCCCCCCCCCCCCCGTTGGCGCAACCCGCTTGATCTCCCCCATGAGCAGAAAAATCGAGCGGATCGCTGGACTTGACTTGATCATTGTCCTCCCCTGCACACACACACACACACACACACACACACACACACACACACACACACACACACACACACACACACACACACACACACACGTGCACGCACTGGACCTGCAGGGTGGCGTTTAGCGCATGCTGCAGCGGCTGGAACATGACTCCATGGTGGTTGGATGAGCATCCACGTTTGAACACACACACACACACACACACACACACACACACACACACACACACACACACACACACACACACACACACACACACACACACACACACACACACACACACACACACACACACACAGCATTCTTTAATCTACTGAAGCACTGTCATAAGCTGTGTCAAGGTCACTGACTGGAGAATTTGCGACCTTGTCTTACAATAAATAAAACGAGACCCCTGCAAGCGCAGTTCTCAAGCTGTTTCAAATTGCTGCTTTCAGACACACATTCCTATGGGAGATAATGTGTGTGTGTGTGTGTGTGTGTGTGTGGGGGGGGGTTAAGATACACCTGATGCGAACAGGTGATTCCAGATAAAAGAGAAAACAGTTGTTGGGTTCCAGTATTCCTTAAGCTGCATCTGGAATGCACCAGCTAACTCGGTTTTATGCAAGTAAACAGATGCTGGAATAATTTATGAGAGTATAACCTTGAACAGAAACATTTTAATGGCTCTAAAAATAAACTGGATGGTTGCACTTGAACCTCCATAAGTCTAGTTGTTTTTAATCATAATTTCCATCTTCAAGTCTGTTTTGAATAAATTGATGGAAGGTGTTGTATTAGCATGTTTGTTTTATTCTTTTGATGGCTGATTGGAAGACAAAAAGACAGTTGCACAAACACCTCTGAAACTGGTTACAATAAACGCTTTGTTTTAACCCTCTCAGGCTCAAAATAAGTTTTGATAAAAGGACGAACAACTAAGTCCTTCAGGGGTTCTTTTGAGTGGAAAATGCTCATGAAATACGTATGTGGAGTAACCAGGTAGGTAGGTTTTAACGTTGCAAATCTGCAACGCCTGCCTCCAGAGGGTTAAAGATTTTTGCCCATTTCCTTCCCCCTGATCTCCCTCCTCACACCCCACATACTTTTAACTATATCTCCTTCCAACGCCTCATATTTAACGGGTCGCTGAGGGCAACCCCCCAGGCCTGCTGCCTTTTCGAACACCAACACGTGGAATTGCCCTTTCCACCGATCTGAAGCTCTTGTGAAAGCAGTCACATACAAATGCTAAGCTAGCCAGTGATTAGGAGCATCTGCCAAACACCCACATACCATATGCCTGTGTCTCATCGCCAGGGAAGAAAAATACAGAAACACTCATAAACATGCACACACAGCACTTGTCCCATGAAAATACATGTCAATACAAGATAATTTGTTTCTAATCTCAGTTTGGATGCAAATTACATTCATGCCATCTTCTTAGATTTGTTACTCCTCCTTTACTCATTTATTTTCTGTTTTGATCCACCTAGTTCCTCTGTTTACTTTAGCCCATCAGCTCAATTATTTGACCATGTGTCTCATTTGACGCCCTCCCCTTAACGGCGAGGTTCACTGCTAAACGTAAAATCCCCGTTCTTTCTGAAAAAATGATAGTTCACTCAGGCCCTGTCCACACGTAGCCGGGGATCTGCCAAAACGTAGATATTTTTCTACGTTTTGGCCTGTCATCCACACGAAAACTGAGTTTTTTTCACACGAAAACGGATCTTTTTAAAAACTCCGGCCAAAGTGAAGATCTGCGTTTTCTCCGTTTTGGGTGTGTGCGTGTGGACAGACAAAACCGGAGTTTTAAGGTCCGCAACGTCACTTTCCGCGACAAAAAATGCTGACATCACCTGTGTGCAATCTGTGTTTACACTAGCCGACAGCATGGATGCCCTCAGAGCTGCGCTCGCTTTATCAATTGTCCAAGCGCTTTTTGCTTGTTTGTTTTTGCAAGCGGGATTACTGCTCCTTGCGGAAGACCACAGACGAAGGACGAGGTTAAGAACGGGGGAAGTACTGCCGCCTACAGGTCTGGCATGTCCTTAACAACGTATTTATCCGGGTACGTGTGGACAGAGTTTCTTTTTTAAATGAGGTGGTGTGGATGCAAGTTTTTGGAGGGGCGGATATTCGTTTTTAAAAAACCCGGCTACGTGTGGACTAGGCCTAAGTGTGGAGGCCCTGGATTGGCTGATTAACTTCACCTTGGACCAATTGTGGAGCAGGGCAGAGGATAAAAGGAGGCTTCCCTGAAGAACAGAGAGACTCTTCCTCCCACATGCTGCTGCTTGATTAACCCACCTGTGTTCTGGAGCTGCTTTTGTTTGAAGGTTTGGTGGAGGCAGACTGGGGACAAGGTAAGCTGGGGGATCCCTGTACATCTCATCACATAGTGGAAACTTGTTAAAAACACTAGTTAAGGAGGTGGGTCAAACCCCCATCCCCTGTAATGTTTTTGGATCCATCTATTTTTGCAGAGAAGTTTAGCTGAGGCTATTGTTTGATTCCTTTATACAGTTAGGAGGGTAGATAGGATCTATTTTGTTTTAATTTCATTCTTTTGGCACCACCTAACTGCCCGTGTCTCCCCCTCCTCCACAGTGGTACCTGCAGCATCCACATGAACAGAACAGCAATAAAAGCTGTGATAAAAGTTTGTGTGTGGAGTGTCATTCCTTATGGTTGTCCAGTTACTACCTTCTCACCTTCCCTGGAAGGACTGGTGGGGAGTGGGAGGTCTGTAACACACACTGAAAATGACTCACAAGGCACTCAACGGAGACTTTAGCAAACCTAATGAAAAAGTGACTCTTTTAAAGAACAATGAGTGAGGGAATAAACTCACAGTGGAAGAAGAGCCGTGTCATGTGACTCAGTCAACAGAGAGTGGCATATCTCGTCTTCTGTTCAGGATCTCTTTCCATCGAGTGGTTAAATGTCACCACAAAACGATAAGATTAGAAAGAAGCTCCAAGTCTTTAGATTTTAAAAGATGCCATCAAACAATGACATTTTTCTGTGAGTTTCCACTGAGAGGAATTTCCTGCCAGGCCTCACCATTGCTGCCTCTCAAACATCCGGGTTGTAGAAATGTGGATCTTTATCCTGACGTGAAAATCTTCATCCACGCCCAAAAAAGTTTGGTTTTAAATCTATAAAACCTCTAAAGGCTCAACAAAATCCAGTTGGTCAAAAGGTTTCCCTTGAAGGTGTCTAAAACATCAAATAATTTTCCTCTTTATGGTTGCATCTTTTATTTACAAGGCAGTTAATGTAAACCAGCTACAGTGTAATCATGTTTCTCCAGTACTGCAGTTATGAAACATTTATTTATGGAGCAACCTCATGCACTGGCTGAGGCTGTTGCCACTGAGATTGCTTTGTCTTCTGTGACAGCACAAAGGGTGGGGGGCAGTCGGCGAGTGGGGTGGGGGCTGCCTTACGCTGCATCAAAGTGTTGATAGCCTTGGACACGAGGGGAGACTTGGGGTCAAGGCTGACTTCAGCGCTGAATAACAGAAGGTAGTCTTAGCGAGAACCCACCACACATACTCATGAGTCCAGGTTATTTATGATCATCTTATTTACACCTCTGTCAAATCTCCCAACACTGTAAAAAAACCTTAGCTTATGCTGCAGTCGGCCTGACGTTTGTTTCTGTTTTACCTCAGAACAGCTCTGAGCAGTCCCATAGAAATAAGACTTTAGATTGTTTGCTGTGTATGAGCGGGTCTTTGTGGGACATTGCCTTCACGCCCTCCTCAGTTTAATATCGGAGTTTGGAAGTTGACTGAACAAGCCCAAGAAGTGTCTGCTGCTCTTGAAGTCAGTCTGATGCAGTCATTGGCGTCCTTCTGGGAACTGGTCTTCAGTGCTGCTTTAGGAGGGTGCCAGCTGTCAGCATAACTTACATGTGAAGTTTGTCCAGTGGACCATTTTGTCATGACATCTCTCCTTTGTTTCAACATCTCTCTGAAGGGAGTTTCCCAAGAGCAACTCAACTCGACTCTACACAGTTTGGGTGGAATTGTCATTACAGATGAGAAACAGCTCCAGTTTGTGGGCGTCATAGCGGGGCAGCAACACACAAGTAGCACATCCTCTATTATAGAGGGTCTGTTAGTGATAGTGAACATTCTGCTTAATTTTTTTTGTCAGATTCTGAAGATAAGAGACATGGAAAAGGCTGCAAGCAGTGAGGCCAAAACCTCTGGAGCAACCGGTGACTCTGCTCAGGGGCGGACTGGAGCAAAGAAGTAGCCCAGGAATGTAGTACCCGACATAACCCGTCAGGAGCCGTGGTTGTAGATGATGGAGGCAGACGCTGGCGGTGGAATGTTCACATTTATGTGGAACACGAAGCATATATGCATGAAAACATTACTGGGACTAGATAGTGGCGACCTGTCCAGGTTGTACCCTATCCAAAGAGTCCTGGAGATAGGTGCCAGGCCCCCACGAGTCACCACCCTGCGTGGACAAGTGGATATTTATAATGGATGGATGGAAGACATTATTGAAGAAATAATCAAACATCCTTTCACCACTATAACAGTTGCTTAATAGTGTGATGACTAGAAAATATAATGTTGAGTCTACTAGACATCCATCCATTCATTTTCATCTGTCACCAGCCACTTGGACCAGCTCCACCAGGGGAATCCTAAGGTGTTCCCTGGCCAGGTGAGAGACATAGTCCCTCCAGCG